AGTTGAATAATATGGAAAGTATACATTTTCAAACAGCCGTATATGAGATTTGCTTTTACTCTAATACCCTTACGTGTCTTTACATTTCAATTCAAATGAGTTGAATTTATTGCTTTCCTTTCCTATCCCAAATTAACGGATAACCGTGCATTGATTTTAGTCCATCCGATTGAGATTATTCAAGGCTAGATTTCATTCTTATTTCTCTCCTAAGACTCCTTTCTCACCTGAATCGTTCCATATATATATATATATATAGAGGACTGCTCAGGTCCCTCCGGAGGGACGGGAGGGACCGTCCGAACTTTACTGTTTGGGGCGGTTTCCGGTGGAATTTTTTGATGAATTTTTTTGAGCATGTTCCTCATCAAGTCTAGTTTGTCCATACCAAATTTCAGCTCAAAATTCGACCGGGAAGACAGTCAAATAAATTCTTGAAACTTACTGCACTTTATATATGCGCAGAATGTGCAGTAAGCTTCAAGAATTTATTTGACTGCCTTCCCGGTCGAATTTTGAGCTCAAATTTGGTATGTAAAAACTAGACTTGATGAGGAACATGCTCAAAAAATTTCATCAAAAAATTTCACCGGGAACCGCCCCAAACAGTAAAGTTCGGACGGTCCCTCCCGTCCCTCCGGAGGGACCTGAGCAGTCCTCTATATATATATATATATATATATATATATATATCAAATGTTTATTCTTTTTTAAACATGTCTAAGCGGATCTTATCAAGACTTCTTACTTATTACCTCCATCCCCCTGAGTTTGGGACAAGAGAATGTGACACAATTATTAATAAAAGTGGGTTTATGTGATTGATATTGAATTGATAAAGTAGGAATAAAGTAGGAATGATTTAGAACCACACAAATTTTACCAAATAAGGTATGTGACAATCTTAGTGTGACGGACCGAAATGGTAAAATGGGACAATCATAGCGGGACGGAGGGAGTATGTTTTAAAATTTCCAAATTGTCAACAAAAATTAAACATTAGGCCTTATTAATTAATTGAGTTTATATATAAAAAAGCCTACTGACGTAACATATAAAGAAAAAATTGTGGGCCTAATCTTCTTTCTATTTTTTCAAGCCTAGGGCGATTGCCCAATAGCCCTCCCCCTAGGGCCGATCGTGAGTAAGGATGTTTTTAATTGGACTATTTTCTGTTTCAGATCAGACTAGATCAGACCAGAGCAGACTTGAACAATTATAAAATACACAGAGATTAAACGTTTACCAGATCAGACTAGTTCAGAGATAGGTAAAAAAAATGGTTGAACACAACTTATTAATTCTTATTAGGGAACTAGCGTTTGCTCGCGCAAGGCGCAAGAGCGTTTTCTCAATATAAAGTAATGTTCTTTTTCATAAATGACTATTACATGCGAGATTGTTAGGAGGTTCTCTAAAAAGTTAAAGAAATATCCTATACTTTTTGAAAACTGCCAAATCAATTATATTTCGTGTTTGCCAAGTATTGTGTGGAAACATGTCTATATTTAAAAGTAAGTGGTCATATGATTTGGTTGTATTCTTGTTTTAATATATGAAATATATATTAAATTAAAGAATCTGGAAACTTGTTTGTTTAATTTATGAAGCAGGTATAGATGATTATTCATTGAAACAAGTCAATTGAGCTCATCTTTTGCTTTGTAGTTCAAACTTTTGCTAACTTTGATTAGTTTATTTTATTCCTCCAATCAAAATTCAGAAAACTTGGAATGTATGGTTACTTCATATTTTGTCCTTCACTTTAAACCAGTAGCAAGTTTATTACTCTCTAACCTGTATTTCACCCCCTCTTTATCAGAAATGTTTTTCCAAACATCATTCAATTCACAATTTTCTTAAACTGTCTGTAGATATTCTTTCATCAATCATGATGGACACCTTACTTTTTAATACTCCCTCCGTCCCGCTATGATTGTCCCACTTTACCATTTCGGTCCGTCCCACTAAGATTGTCTCATGCCTTATTTAGTAAAGTTTGTGTGGTTCTAAATCATTTCTACTTTATTATTACTTTATCAATTCAATATCAACCACATAAACCCACTTTTATTAATAATTGTGTCACTTTCTCTTGTCCCAAACTTAGGGGGACGGAGGTAGTAGTAAACTCATATTCCATTTTTTGCAAATCTATAGGAAGTCTGGTCATATGTTCCATTGCATGACAGAATTAACGCAAGCTGAGTATGATGCTACAGTTTCTTAAATCTTGCTAGTCATGGATAGCTGAGGAACGTGAGAGTTTCCCACATGGTATTTTCTAATTATTCCACGTATTGAAATGATGCTACAGTTTCTTAAATCTTAAACAGTTTGCTGCAGATTATATATTTTACTTATAACCCTATCAAATTCGGTTTTATATCATGAATTTACTTAAACCATAATTGGTTATAGCGATCGGTTTTAAGCTCTAAGAGTTAATTTGTGTAATGGTAGATCAAAAGTAGTTCTCCTAGTTTTATTGTCTTATGTGCTAGTTGAGTAATCCCAATTCAACCCTGAATTCTATCAATCTGTTTTATGACTTTGTGTTATTGTGAGTGTTGTATGCCACGACTTGTCAGTTATCATATTTATAGGCAAAGTTTACCTTTTAATTTTTCAAGATTATGACTTATGAGTATTATGTTTATATAGTTTAACATTGTCAAATATATCATAAATATATAAATTTTGAGTAGAACTAATCATTGCCGATTCAATCAATGGTTATAATATTTACCGGTTCAATGGTCAGTCGGTTTTAAAAACCTTCCCCAAATATAAAATCATAGAACATGTTTACTGCCACATATTTTTTCAAATTCTTAAAATGAATAACACATCACCACTCACTCACTCCAGTGTTAGAAATATGCAGTTTTGCCATAGCTTTGTCATTTTGTGAAATGGTGGATTAGAAAGTTAAAAACCTGGAGAGCTAGATACTGCAGTGGGAAAACAATATATTTCCATACATAGGAATGCGTAAATGGCTCATGTGTCATGCTATCGTTGCTTTTGCTGGACACTCTTCCCCTTCTTTTGACAAAATTATCCAGGCAATTTCCATTGTTCTGTAAATCTTCCTATATCTCGGGAGATGCTTTGTCATTAGCTTATAGATATAGATTACCTTTTGGCCTTCCTGACAATTACTAAATAAACAAATCCAATGTTGTTATTCTAATGGAATAGATACATAACATTCTTTCTATGTTGTCTGATCATGTTAGTGCATTTAGTTGATATGGTATTATTATCAAGAAGACATTAAAAAAGATGCATGAGAAAAAATTACTGAAATTATTTCTACTCTTATATGCTTTATTTATTTGGCTTGAACAGAATATTGAAGGACTTTTATTTCCTCGCCAAAATCCTGGATTGCTTGTTTCGTTGAAGGTTCCATGATTCCTTGATTTTGACAACAAAATGAAGATTATCAAGGAAAATGAAGAGAAGGTAGACAATCTTGAAGAATTGTTGTTAAGATACATAAAAGGAAGTGAAGGAAAGCCAAAGTATACAATACATATATGTAATACATTGAAATACTAGATTGAATTACATAATTGTTGTGATAGTTTTACATAAGAAATATTATTTTTTGTTGCTTTTTGTTGTATTAAATGTGTTGCTTTTTGTTGCATCTTGTTGTTTTCTGTTGTATCGTATTGCATTTTTTTTTTTGCAATTTGTTACTTATTTTTGTTTTATTGTTGCTCTTGATTTTTATTGTTCATGTAGGTTTTTATTTATCTTTGCTACTTCTTTGAAGTAAAAAATCATATAAGTATAGATTTAGAATAAATCTCAAAACTGATACATTATTTGCATTTATGAAACAATAAAAAACAAAAATTCCAGAGTTATCAACAAAAGGAAACAAAAAGAAACAATATGCAACAAAAACAAAAAAGTAAAATTATATAATTATATACAGAATTTATAAATGTTTTACTTTATTTAAAAAAAATTACTTTGTATATATTTCGGTTCCTAAAAAAATTTTCCTTAACTATTTCAAAAAAAAATTCTAATTGACTATGATAATTTCAATATTTTCAAATCCCTTTTTACAGTTTTTTATTTTTTATTTTTTAAAAATTAATATAATGTTTTCATCTTATGAGGTTTTTTGTGTTTTTTTTTAAATATTTTTATTTTAATATTTTGATTTTTAATTAATTTTATTACATTTCAATTATTTATATTTTTATTGTTTTAGTATTTTTCGAGTTCATTATTTTAGCATTTTACGTTTTTTTTACTAAACTTTTGAATATTACACCCTTTAGGTTACATTAATTATCTGTTTTTTTTATAATTTTTTGAATATTTTAATTTTTTATTTTTTTTGAAATTAATTTGATTAATTTGAATGTTTTTAAATTTTTATATATTTAATTTATTTTTATTCTTCTAATGTGCATATTTCTCAATCTGTTTTTAAAATAACCACTCCTTCACAAAAGTTTGTATTTACTTTTGATATTTTTTACTAGCTTCAAAACATTTTTATCTTATTTACACATTTTATTTATAAATTTAACGTTTTTTTGTAACTTTTTACGAAGTATAACATTTTATTACCCTTCCGATTTTTTTTTTTATTTTTGACTTTTTAAACCATTTTAAACGTTTTTCATTTTTTTTTGTTGAATTTTGTGTTCGTAATTTACTATAAGCTTATTTCATGTTTTTCTAATTTATTTTTATAAATATCAAATTCATCTAATTTTAATATCTAACTCACAATTATTCAATTTTTATTATGTTTTTTTTTTTAATTTTAAATTTTTATTTTTAGTTTTTAAAAGTTATTTACTATTTCTAATTTTATTAATTTTCTATTTATTATCACCCTTTGGGTTTTCCATGAATTCTGACTTTTTTCTATTTCTGAAAAGAGAGTATTAGCAAGTCTATTATTGAAAAGAAAAACAAAGGGTGACAAAAGTGATATTATTTACTTTTTTTAGTCTACTTATGAAAAATTCCCTTTCAAGAATCAGGCTTTCAGCGTTTGACATCGGCTTCCACAGCGGGCAGCGGCACGCCGCCACGCCGGTACTCCAGCACAGCCCACAAGTCTACCCCGTTTTGCGATTCTGCACTTCCGCCGTTCTGAACTTCTGGTTATAAGCCAATCAGGACATCAGGTATCCCTTACGCCCTCAAAAATTAATTTTTAAGAGTTAAGATTCGGCCAGAATGTATATTTGAGATTTTTAGTAGTATGAAGTTACAAACATACTCCGTATGAATGATGATGGACTGGTTGTCTATTTGTGTGAATGTGTGATTCAGTTTAGTAATTGAAAAATTAATTTAATTATTTTTATAAATGATTATGAATGCTTGATAAATAAATGGATGCTTTGTTAGATGTTAATCACTTAATTGATGATTGTTACTTATTGAGTGTTGGTATTATAATTTATTCATTTTATTAGGTAAAAATTTTCAATTATAATTACATTTATAAATTTAACTAATTTCAAGGTTTGATAAAAATGGTTGAATTCGGATGGGAGAAACTAGCGAGGAAAAGAAGATTAGAAAATGGTGTCCTAAGTCAAAAAGGTGCAATGGAAAAGTTTGTTTTTACAGAGAAGAAAAAATCTGAACGTCCTTCCTAAGATAAGAATTTAGAGGAGAAGAATGATTCAGCTAACGAAAACGAAACAGTTCATAATGATCAAGAATTTAGAAAAGCTTGATTATGACGCTATTGTTGATGACTATGCTTCACAATATAATGTTCAACGATGAATGTATTTAAATAATTTTTTATTCGGTTATTTTGAAAACATTATTCGACTATGTTTAATTTAACGAATTCAAGTATTTTCTTTATTCTAAAGGTATTCAAATATTATTATTTTTCATTTTTATTTAGGTAGAAACGTGATTTACAATTTTTTTAAATTAGGCCCATATTTTATTGTTCGCCCCTAGGCCTTCAAATATCCAGGACTGCCCCTGAGCGGCACTTTAAGCACATCTTTCGGTTAGTAAGTGGTTTTTTAAGCAGCGTGCATGTTTACTTCACCTGTTTTACTAACCTAACTGTGACTTTAGTAGCGAAGTAAACACTTCCTTAGTAAAATAAAAAAAAGATTGTAAACATTGTTTTAGACTTTTAGATGAGGTATGTGCTTTGAATGCACGTAAGTATTTATAAATATCAAAATTCTATAATATTTTCATACTCCTTGAGTCCCTAAATAAAAGACTTTGTTTTCGTTTTGGGCTATTTTTATATAAAAGGCTTATTTCCCTTTTTGACAAATAAAACAATTTAAACTAGTACAAAATAATGCAAAATAGTATAAAACAGTGCAAAACAATATCTGTCCAAACAACGTTCAAAGAATATTCCTTTTCAAATTGTGTTCCAGTCAAACTCTATCTTTTACTCCCTCTGTCCCTAAAAGAAGTTTCATTTCGCTTATCGAGGGTCAACTTAAATCACTCTTAAACTCTTAATTTTTATATCAAAATTTTATAAAAGTTGAATTATTTTTTGCAGGCTTTGTAACGGGTTTAATGTAGTTTCTGAATATGTAAATTTTATATACTAAAAATAATCCGAGTTTTCACAGGGATCATTTAACTTTATCGTCGGTCAACCTTCGTAATCCGCAATTGGAACAACATTTAGGGACGGAAGGAGTATATAGGGAGTATTTGAAATACACTCCTCTAATTTTTACTCCGTAATAATATTTATAATAAAGGTACCTCCTTACCGGTATCATCGTTTCGGCCTACCGTATATGTAGGGATGACAACGGGGCGGATCGGGGACGGGTACACATAAAACTGAAACCTCCCCGTTGGATAAATGTTTGCCCCAAAACCGCCCCATTACCCGTTCGGGTAATATTTATTTGAACCGTACCCGCCCCAACGGGGAATTGGTTTATCCACGGGTAACCGTTTGCCCAAATGATACCAAATAACCAATTTCTAATCCTACTTGTTATTTATATATTCAAATCACTCTAATACATACAAAAGTAAATATTTAAGCAATCAAGCATGCTGCCCTAAATTCATTAGTATGACATGCACCTAATATCTCTTGTAACATAATAAAAAAGTAGTAATCATCTCAAAATCCAAATTCCAAAAACAGGTTTAGGCCTATATTTAGTTTTAGGTCTAAAAAAGTAGTAATCCATCGAGAAAAAAAAACTGTTTAGTCCTAAAAATGTAGTAATCCATCGCAAAAACACCATGTTAAGCCTAGAAGGATCGAAGACGACAAAGAGAGCCGTTGCCGTTCTAAGCAGAGGCGCAGAGCCTTGAGATCCTGAGCCGTAATCCGCAGAACTCGAATAGGGATGTTAGGGTTGTTTGAAGTGGGCCTTTTTTGGTGTATTATTCTTTATATACTTATATGATATATAAAATTTAGTATACACATTTATCATATATACTTATTATTCTTATATATAAAAAGTTATACTCCCTCCGTCCCAAAAACAACTTCCCGCTTTCCTTAAATGGATGTCCCAAAATTAACTTCCCACTTCAATACTTTCCTTATTTGGCAAATTATCTACATCAAAAAAGTCATAAACAGTGCCAAACAGTGTTTAAACAGTGTTTAACAGTGCCAAACAGTGTTTAAACAGTGCACTCTACAGTAAAGTCAAATTTATTTCCTAAATATGTGTGTAGGTCAAACCGGGAGGTTGTTTTCGGGACGGAGGGAGTAATTTATTAATAATGTTACGGATCGGGTAACGGTGTGGGTACCCGCACCATTAGTGAATAACGGGGCGGATAACGGGGCGGATTAGTATAGAACCATAACAGCATCATTATCCATTTGAAAAATTCGGGTATTCCCCGCCCCATACCCATTTTCTAAGTAAAACCGTTTTTCCCCCGTTGACCAAATAGGATCGGTGCAGTATCCTGTGCATCGGATCGGTGCCGTATATGTGTGATACACAGATGCTCGACAGTCGACCCGGTTGAAGCCTTCGATTCCAAACCCGTATCCGCTTCCTTTTGGGTCTGACCTCCGACGACAGAGAATTCACCGTTTTTCTTAACCCAGGTATTTCATTTGCTAAGCTCGCCTCCATCATCAGCATTTGCTCCTTTAACTTCCACCCTTATCATATTCTCAAACAAAAATTAGTCTTTTTTACAATAAACAAATCGTTTAGATGTTTTAAACTAAATATTTGCTTTATCATTTTAGTGGATGTATTGTTTTAGGTTGTAAAATAATCATCGAATTATCCATTTAATCGATTAATCATGAAGCAAACCTGAAGAATATGATTATAAAGGTCAGCATAATACTTTATTCTATATCAAAGTAAGTTTCTGTGTGATCAGGTCATGTGATGTACGTAGTTGTAATGTGGTTATAAATTTCTTTAGCTATATCTAATTAGACCTCATTAGCTAAACATTCCAACTCTCTAACTGCCTATCAGATACGTGATTATTATTTATTAGAGACAGTATAGAAAAGCTCTCAAGTGTAATGCTGAATTGCTGATAAACCTGTACATCTTAGCTCTTTGAATCTCAATCTGTTGTACTCTTTCAAAATTTAGGAATTAGTCATTGTGAATTGGACCATTCATGGATCACATTCATTTATTTGGCTTTGCTGTGGAATTTGTCTCATATAGATTTTTCTGGCATCATATGCTGAAAATTCATAGCATTCTGAACAAAGTGGGTTTATTTTGGGCTTAAAATATGCTCATAGCAAGGATTATAAAGGATTATGAGCATGGCTCTAGAACATTATAAATAAAAACTAAGTCGATTGTATGGTAGCATTGTAGCAACATCCCAAATGCAAGAATTAAAGACAGGGGGAATTTGATATACTGAGTAGAACTTATTTTTAAAGACAGAAAGCTCCACAAAAGTCAGTGGGATAAAGGCTAGGCACCCCCGAACTGAATTTTATTGAAAGCAAATAAGATAGACATGAGGGGACAAGTACCAAGCCCAAAGCCAATGCCCTCCCGAAGATGGCAGTCTCCCAAAAAGGTACAAGCAAAACAAAAAGGGAGAGAAGACCCTAAACAGGCTTAAACTGATTACAAACAAGGAAGGAAAAGCAGCCACAAAAATCAGTAATTCAGTATGTAAACTACCAAACAAATGCGGGGACACAAAAGGCCTTAGCCAAACCTTTCCCCCAGAAGAGGCTAGATGAGTGCACCCAAATAGCCCAAATTCTCCATACTGGCAATATAGAAGGCTAGGACAAAGCCAGTTTACAAGGAATAAATAACAAATAAGAACTAAGGACAGTATGTACCACTCCCAAGAGAGCCTGTAAATGAAAAACTACCCTCCATTGAGTCTCTTCAAGTCCCAAATACCAAACTCATGTCACCTTTCCGACCATTTCAGCATACTGGAGTCTACGCTGTAACTGGGAAAGGCCGTTCATGCTCTCAGCCATGAAGAACATACTATACCTGAGTTTCACATTATGCAGAATGTTGGGATCCAAAACAGCAGCCCCTGATCAGCAGAGACCTCTAATGTTAGAGATATCTGCCTGTTAAGTGCAGACAAGCCGTCAAGCCCTTTACCTTCCCTATCAAATCCATTAAAATTGAAGAGCCTTAGGGAATCAGAGCGGAGGCTCAGTTTAGCCATTTCATCAGCTATATCATTAGCTTCCTCCTCACATCCTGAAAGAAAATATTAAGGTCAGAGGAAATATGCCTGATCTTTTTATGACCCATTGTATATTTGTATCTCGCATCTTCCGCATTCAAATTTGAAATGGTTATTACATCTTTAAAATCTGTCTAATTGAAGGTGTTGCTCAACACTTCCAGCGCCAGTATTTTGCAATTCTCGGTTATGACCAAACAGCAAAAGCTCAGTCATCTCAATATTACAAGCATAAATTTATTCATAGTTGGCAATCAAGCAATCAACGGCCAACCCCACCTATTCTCGTTTATGACCAAACAGCTAGAATGGTCTATGACGGCCAGTGGCCACCCCACCTATAAATGATCTCCAAGCTATTGACACTGATCTGTATTGATTTTAATATCCCTGGAGGTGTCTTACCCCAATAGAAGTAAATAAACTTTCCTCATGGTTTTATGTTTTCGAGAGTTCTAGTGTGGGCCTGCAAATAACTCATGAAACCCTCAATTTGTTGGATTATCAGTTTGTTATCCCATTTTTTCATTCTGGAACTTGGCTTCATTTCTTTTAGGGAAATGGAACAATTATACCCTTGTTCTATTATTTGGGACAAAAAACATAAAAAGTCTAATACTTGGCCTAAAAGTATCCTTCCTTAACGGTTCATTAAATGTATTAACATTGCGACCAATCCACAATATACTTACATGCTTCAGCTCAAGTATTCTCCACTCCTGTGCCTGTTTGTCCGAATAACGGAGAAGTGAAAGCTATGAACAAAGATTGCAGGGGTGAAGGCCATAGAGTTGAGTTAGAGACTTAGACTCAGCCCGGCCATCTAAGTAACTAACCATGGGTGAGGCATAGAAGTGAGGAGGAGATCAGAAGAAGTAAGAGTGGATGCCCAACCAGAGACTTCAACAGATGAGTCAAACCTCAGAAAACATTGGGCAGATTTTGAGATCCATCGGCGCAACTCTCTATCTTTCTAACTCAAGCTAGTTCACTCTTGATGGCCCTGCTTTTCTATGTTTTTTGCTTTCTTTTTTGAGACTGTATTTCTGCTATTTCATACACTAATATTATGCACTCACAGAGAAACAACTAACGTTGCCTTCCCAACACAAAAACAAAATACAAACTCTCTCTTTATATACTTAGTGGTACTATAATATATATATATATATATATATATATATATATATATACACTTCAATAGTCTTGATAGCCAGCTAGCAATCAATAATGGACGGACTCAACCGTTTTTCATATAGGATTAGGTGCAAATATAAAGAACAACATCCATTTTTATTATATTAAAAGATGCACCCAAGAACATCTCCAACCTCCATTTGATATAATCGGATTGTTGCTATACGATAGAGAAGAAAGAAACATGAATAAGAGAGAAGCTTTAACCAGGTTCTTCAATCAGGATGCATTCGATTCTCACAAGCTTAACTTTGTATCTGACAGGGAAAAGGTTTAAAACGTTAGGGAGGGTAGACTTGTACCCCAATTTCAGTTTTGCAAGTTTTTTGTTCCAAAAAATAAAACAAGGGTATATCTGTTCTCACACTAATATTGCAGGGGTATATACATTCCTTTCCCCTTTTTTTTACTCCTAAAAAAAGGTGGGTTTTCATTTCGCCTGGTGAAACTTACCAGCTTACCATTATGCAAGCCATCCATTGAAACTTCAAGCTTGTTTACAATTTTTTCAGCTGGCCTGGCCCACTTTGTCTGCCTTGTTTTGATATTGATGGTTTGATTTAAGGAGATCAATGGGGGAGAAGACCAAGTACAGTATAATTATCCCAACTTATAATGAACGACTCAACATCGCCATCATTGTTTACCTCCTCTTCAAGCATGTCAAGTAATATTCTTTTTCCCTCCCTATATTTACATGGGTTCTTGGTGCATCTTTTCAATTTCATCTATTGGTTTACTTTAATCTTTTTAGGTGCACAATTCAATCTATTATTTGTATATATTAGATGCTAATTGTTGATTACAAACTCTAAAATTTTCCTGTGATCTTGCTCTTGTTCTAGCTTTAATAAATTATTACTTCCTCCGTATTTAAATGTTCACTACACTAGCTTTGGGTACAATATTTTAGGATAGAATAGTAGGGGTACTGAATAGTGTAGAAAAAGTAGGAGAGAGTGTGTAAAAGTATGAAAGAGAAGATAAAAAGTAGATAAAGTAAGGGTGATTGAGTATTTTATAAGGATAAACTCACCAAAAATGGAAGTGTAGGGAACTTTTAAATACATCCCAAAAAGGAAAGTGTAGGAAACTTTTAAATACAGAGGGAGTATTTTTTTTTCTTCAAATACTCCGTATTTAATAGCTTCTCACTTCATTTTTCTCTAACAAAATTTCCGATGCTTCATCTTTTGGGTTCTCTAATTATACTAGTATATGTTTTGATGTACTGCATGCTTTCTTGGTACCATTAAAGTTTACCAGCTGAGACTAATTTATATTGCGGTCCTTAAAGTTTAATTGCTCATTTACTTATTTAAATTTAAATTGGTAGTTCTTAAACTTTTATGCATGCAAAATATTTTATGGCTATGTAAAGTCCAACCACAATATTGTAAGACTTGTTTACTTTTGACATGGTAGGGATGTTGATTTTGAAATTATAGTTGTGGATGATGGAAGTCCTGATGGAACTCAAGATATTGTTGAACAATTGCAACTGGTGTATGGGGAAGGTCGCATTGTCAGTAGATTTTTTTGACTCAATTCATTGTGATTTATTTCTTACCTGTAGATAACAATTCTTAAGAATTTGTACTCCCCCCCATTGGTCTTGCAGCTTTTGAGGCCCCGATCGGCTAAGCTTGGTTTAGGTATTTACATATGCTTTTCCTAATTAACCTAATTTGATCAAGCATGTCCTTAACTGTATATCATTCAGGTACTGCATATATTCATGGTTTGAAGTATGCCTCTGGAAACTTTGTTGTCATTATGGATGCCGATCTATCCCACCATGTAAGAATGCTTTGAAAGGTTATACACGTGCACATTTTTTTATAGTGTACTTGTGATAAATGCAAATGATAATCTCCAAGTTCCTACATATACATTGTTAAAATCACTGATTGGAGTAGGCGGGCTTTTCTACTTCATTTCTTTTCTTAATGTTTTTTTTTTCTTTTAACCAGTTTTTTCTTTCTATAACTTCCTTCCTTCATTAGCATTTTTCCTCATTACTCCCTCCGTCCCTATATTATCTTCAAACTTTCCTTTTGCGTTCGTCCCAAAATTATCTCCTCTTTCCCTTTTTAGCAAAGAATTTGTGGTTCACAACAATTCTGATAAGAACAGGAAAATAAAATCAACGGGGTGAACCGTTGCCTAGATAATCAACGATAAACAAATACCGTTGCCCAGAGCCAAAAGGCTAAACCAACTTTTATTCCCAGATGATCAAGAATGAAGCATACAAGGGGTATAAATAACCTTCTAGGTCTAATAAGAATAGGAATCCTAATTAAATTATTCTAGGAAACTAAATGGAATAGGAAACCTCTAGTTCTAATAGAACTCCTAATTAAATCATTCTAGGAAACTAAATAGAAATAGGAAACCTCTAATTCTAATAAGATTAGGAGTCCTAAATAAATCCTACTAGGAAACAAAATAAAAGGAATAATAAATATTAATTAAACAGCCCGCAACCAGCCCACGGAGGTGGGCTCAAGCCCGTCCCGCCCCATGCTCTTCCCGCTTCATATCAATCCATCCTCCTTCAAATTAACCTTGTCCTCAAGGTGGAAAATATTCTTCTTCTCTTTCCTGAACCTTTTCCTGGCCGGTTATTTCACAGAATTCATGTTGCTTGAGGTCCAACTCTTCATCCTCCTCAGGTATCATTACCCGCAGCTGCTTAAAGGGACAGTCATGTGTAGGTGTAAATGGTTTCTTGCACCTAAAGCATAATCCTTTCGCCCGCTGTTCTGCAAACTCTTTTGGCGGAAGTCGAGTGAATTGAGAGCGTGTCATAGGCTGCCCAGACAGCCCTGACTTCGTCCCTGGAGGCTGTCCACTATCTTTCGCAAAGCTGCCCTCCGAACCCTGTAAGCTGCCACCAATGGCAGTCAACGGGGAACTTGTGTTTGCCCTTAAAAGGCTGCTAGAACGTACCCCTGACGAATGATAATTCAGGGCGCCACTTTCTCCACTTTGTACGGACAGATTATGCTCCACGTCGCGAGCTAATTCCATAGCCATCTCCAGGTTGTTTGGTCGAAGTAATCACAGCGAGCTTCGGATTGTTTCCTTAAGCCCACTCATGTAATAGCCCAAGTAATGATCATCAGTTAATCCGAGTACTTGACTAGCCATCTGTACAAACAAAGTATTGTAATCTTCCACTTGCCCAATTTGTTTGACGCCGGACAGCCTTTCAAATCTGTTTCCCTGATATCGGGAATCAAATCTAGCCACCAAGGCTTGCTTGAATTCTTCCCAGGACAAGTTGGGTTTGCGTCCCTTCATCCAAGTTACCCAATATAGGGCAGCCCCTTACATAGCCACCGTAGTTGCAGCCACTTTTCTGCCCGGTAGGGTTTGGTTGAGTTCAAATTGTTGCTCGGCTCTTGCCAACCACCCGATGGGGTCTTCGCCGTCAAACGAGGGAAGTAGTGTCGTGGAAGCGTTGCGCGGTCCACCCTCGTCGGTGAAAGCAGTCACGATGTGGGCGGAGGAGCCGCTCTCGACGGTCGTGCTTGGAGACTTCTCTGGCGGTACCATGGCCTTCACGATTGCTGCCAGGGATGCTGCGATTTCCGCAAGCTGGGCGGCCTGCTCCTCCTGTTTCTGAGCTTGTAGAGTACATCCAGTTTCTCTCCTTGTGAATCGAGCTTTTGATTGATCAGGGCCTGTTCAGCCTCTAGTTCCGTCAGTCGTTCGTTCTGAGTTCTCGTCATTCTGGCGGGACGGGATCCGGCAGGTCGGACCAATTGATAAGAACAGGAAAATAAAATCAACGGGGTGAACCGTTGCCTAGATAATCAACGATAAACAAATACCGTTGCCCAGAGCCAAAAGGCTAAACCAACTTTTATTCCTAGATGATCAAGAATGAAGCATACAAGGGGTATAAATAACCTTCTAGGTCTAATAAGAATAGGAATCCTAATTAAATTATTCTAGGAAACTAAATGGAATAGGAAACCTCTAGTTCTAATAGAACTCCTAATTAAATCATTCTAGGAAACTAAATAGAAATAGGAAACCTCTAATTCTAATAAGATTAGGAGTCCTAAATAAATCCTACCAGGAAACAAATTAAATTAGGAAACAAAATAAAAGGAATAATAAATATTAATTAAACAGCCCGCAACCAGCCCACGGAGGTGGGCTCAAGCCCGTCCCGCCCCATGCTCTTCCCGCTTCATATCAAATTCTTACACATTTTTCTCTCTTCGGCACAATACTCCACCACACAAAACCTACTATCTTAATTTGTGTGCCTGGTCAAATGAGGAGATAACATAGGGATGGAGAGAGTATAATATTTTAATAAAATTGAGATTTCCCTAAAAAAATAGTGGATGATAAAGAAAAAACATTGTTAAATTGTTATTAGGGGCGCATTTGCTTTTGTTTTTTATCCTTTAGAGTTTTTATTTTCTGTTTTCAAGTTTTTCATTTCTGTGTTTTTTCTACTCTGTTTTTAGAAATTTGGAAATATGTTATCTAACACCACATAAGATTTTCCACTCTACTTTCCATACTGGGGCCTGTACCTTTCTATTCAGGCTTGCTGATAGCTTAAATTTTGATCTGCAATCTGTTTGGCTTTGTATATGTCACTATATCCAAAGTGTTTATTTTGGTTTACTTTATTTGTTGCAGCCAAAGTACCTGCCAAAATTTATAAAGTAAGTGCATGTCTATTGATGAACTTTAAAAACTTTTTTGTTTTTGTGTTTTAGGTTGCTTTGGCATAACTACGATATTTCATTTAATTCAGGAAACAAATAGATACCGGTGCCGATATCGTCACGGGAACCCGTTATGTTAAGGGCGGGGGTGTTCACGGCTGGAATCTAATGCGTAAATTGACAAGTAGGGGAGCAAATGTCCTTGCACAGACACTACTTTGGCCAGGAGTATCAGACTTAACTGGATCATTTCGGTGACGTTTCTCTTTATAACTAATACAGAAATTTTATAAGGTCAAGTACCAAAAATCCAAAAGTGACCCTAAACGTCCAAAAAGCACTTGATTGACTATGAACTCTTCAAATGTGCCATTTAGTCCTTGAACAAACTTAAGTGACTCATTAATGACCCCAGACTCTAAAAAAAGTCTTGATCGGTGTTGATCATGCTGCAGATGTGAGTGTCCCAAATAGATGACAAATCAAATCAGATGAAACAGTAAAAATACATTACATAAAGAAATTGTTGCAAGTGATCTTATCATCAGTTATACCTTTCTTCATGTACCTAATCATATTCTCTTTTTGGCACATGCATATATTGTTATACGACATGCCTAAAGTTAATAATTTTTTAAAAGTGCAAGGTCATGATTGAGTTATTTACTTATTTTAATTTAGTTTAGGGGCGAAACAGGATGTCTGGATAGCTCAGGGTCAATCTGCCTTTCATTGAAAGTTCATGGTCATTTTTGGGTGGGAAAATCAGTGTCGATAGATTCCTCCAGAAAAAAACAACAAAATCACAGAAGAAATGTAAAACAGTATCAAGAAACCAACACAGCTTTATTAAAGATGAACAGTGACATTGGCCGAAGCCCCCAAAGAGAGAGTAATCTCAATCTTCCCAGTCCCAAGACAAAGTCTAAAAACAGCCTCCCACTTCTTACCAGCTTTATTCTATTTATAGACCTACAGCTCAACTAACTATAGTTAATAGCTACCAACTGAAAACAACTATTAACAAACTATTCTATTTATTTCTTCTAGTATCAATCTTTCTTACTAAAAGTAGTCATATCCCTATCAATACTCCCCCCCTAAACATCCACCTTGCCCTCAAGGTGGGTGATAGGAAACAGCCAAAATCTTATGCTTCCTCTTCCTCCTTGCACTTCTACCTTCCGAATATCTCACTGGTTTCAGAGCAAATAGCTTTAGTACATAATCTTTCCATCTCCCAAATTTTTCTGCAGCATATAATATTTCTGGTGAAGTTTCGCTTTCTTCACTAGCTTTTAAACCTTCAATAGCCACAAGTATATCCTTGTCTTCCTGAAGTGTATCACCTACACCCTTAGTAGAATTTATGTTTATGCCCTGAACCTCTGATAGATCCCACACAGTAAATAAAAAGGAAAACAGGGTATTAATTTTCTTCTATCAATAAGCAAGGCAAGTATCTCACACTTACTTGAAGATAGACCCAGGGAGTATCTCCAGAAGAATATTATGAGAACTGAATTATCGATGCCCTCTTCACAAGGCGAAGAGCCTATTTAAACTGCTTACACAATAGAGAAATAACTGAACTTCTCTACTGACCCACTTACTTCTCTACTGACCCACTCCTAAGGTGTAGTGGAGAGACCCACTTACTCTGCAACTGACAACTAGCCTACTAACAGATAAGAACAAGATAAATTAATTAAATAAAAATAAAACTAGTAACCACTATTCATCCAACACTGCTGCCACGTGTCTCTTTTTATTCTTCCTGGAATAAGTGAACTTGTAATTCTCAGGGAATTTATCATTACTCCCCCCTTGAAAACATGACTTGTCCTCAAGTCTAAAATCTGGAAATTGTGAGGATAGTAAGTCATGATCCTCCCAAGTGGCCTCCTCTGCTGATTTGCCCTCCCACTGAATCAGCACTTCCAGAGACCCGCTATCAGTCCAGCGGTGTTGCAGCACCTTGGAAGGAGACAGTATCAGCTCCAAGTCTGATGATAAAGGTAGAGGCGCTGGAACCTTTGGTAGGACTTGGTCAATTGCGGGCTTCAATAACGAGACATGAAATATGGGGTGAATTTTGGCGGTGGGAGGTAATTCAAGCTCATAAGCGACCGGCCCGATGCGGCGAAGAACCTTGTAAGGACCAAAAAACCTTGGAGACAGCTTCTCATATCTTCGCTTGGCTAATTTTTTCCGGCGGTATGGCTGTAATTTTAGCCATACGACATCACCTGGAGAATATTGCACATCTCTTCGGTGGCGATCAGCTTGAATTTTCATGCGATGTTGAGCCTTTAGCAAGTTATTGCGCAGCATGGCCAGCATGTCATCCCGCAACTGCAGTTGCTCTTCTAATTCAGCCACTGCAGTTTCGCCTTTAACGTAAGGGACAAGTGGTGGTGGTTCTCTACCATATACAATCTTAAACGGGGTGGTATCAGCAGCCACATGATAACCTGTGTTGAAAGAATACTCAGCCCAGCAAAGGTAATCTTTCCAACTTTTAGGTTGTTCCTGGATAAAGCATCGAAGGTAAGCTTCTAGACAACGATTGACAACCTCAGTTTGTCCGTCCGATTGAGGATGGTAGGCAGTGCTCATGTTTAGGCGGGTCTTGCTAAGGCGAAACAGTTCTTTCCAGAACATACTCAAGAAAACAGGATCTCTGTCAGAAACTATAGAACGGGGTATCCCGTGTAGGCGGACTATTTCTCTGCAGAATAATTGTGCCACAGATTTAGCACTGTAAGGATGAGACATACCCATGAAATGACAATATTTGCTTAGTCTATCAACCACCACAAGTATTACATTACAACCCCCAGATTTTGGAAGACCCGTGATGAAATCAAGGGATATGTCCTCCCAAATACGCTCCGGAATGGGTAAAGGTTGAAGAAGACCTGCTGGAGCCAATGTCTGGTATTTATTTTGCTGGCAAATTGTGCAGCCCTGAATAAACCGCTTAACATCCTGTTTCATTCCCCGCCAATATAAATGAGCACTCAATCTCTTTAGTGTCTTTACATAACCCCCATGGCCTCCGATGGGTGTGTCATGAGCTTCTTCAATCAATTTACTACGAAGCAAATCTTGGTTAGGAATAACTAACCTTGATTTGTAGTACAAACGGTCACCTGCCATTCGGTAATTAGGAGCTAACTCTGGATCTTTCTGTAACATCTCAATTAGTGCCTTCGTCTCTGGATCCTCCTGTAAAGCCAGTTGTAGTTGTGAAATATCATCTACCATAGGAACCACTAACTGAAAGAATTCCACAGATTGGGGCAGTCGAGAAAGTGCATCAGCAGCTGAATTTTCTTTCCCAGATTTGTACATGATGGAAAAATCAAAGGGAAGTAGTTTAATGAGGAGACGCTGCTGGGAATTAGTCAGTATTTTCTGATCTAGGAGATATTTCAGACTGCAGTGATCTGTCTGAACGATGAAGTGTTGGCCCAAGAGGTAATGCCGCCATTTTTGAAGAGCAAGAACTAACGCCAACAACTCTCGATCATATGTTGATTTGAATCTGTTGGAAATGGAAAACCCTTTGCTGAAATATGCTATGGGATGGCCTTCTTGCATTAGGACTGCTCCTATCCCTTCCATAGATGCATCACACTCTACAGTGAAAGGGAGCTTGAAATCAGGAAGCCTGAGAACCGGAGTGGTAGTTAGGGCCCTTTTTAGAGCCTCAAAAGCAGTCTGAGCTTGTGCCGACCATGAAAAGGCCCCTTTTTTTGTTAATTCCGTAAGAGGACGTGCAATCAACCCATAATTCTTCACAAAACACCTGTAATAACCGGTAAGCCCCAGAAAGCCTCTTAATTCCTTAGCGTTTGATGGTGGAGGCCAGTTGATGACTGCTGCAACTTTTTCTGGGACCACCTCCACCCCCTTGCTGGTGAGAATATGACCCAAGTATTCTATCCTGGACTGTCCCAGTGAACATTTCTTTGCATTTACAAAGAAGGAGTGTTCCTGTAATAGTTGGAGAACAGTCTTCAAGTGCTCCAAATGTTGTTGCGCAGAGGGACTATATACCAGGATATCATCAAAGAAAACCAGCACAAATCTTCTTAAATGTGATCTAAACAGATCATTCATAACGGATTGAAAAGTTGCCGGAGCATTAGTAAGACCGAAGGGCATAACTACAAATTCATAATGCCCCGAGTGAGTCCGAAATGCAGTTTTGGGAATATCAGAGGGCAATACAAGTATTTGATGGTACCCAGACCTCAAATCTATTTTTGAAAAATAAGCAGCCCCATTTAACTCATCAAGTAATTCATCAATATTTGGGATGGGATACTTATCTGGGATGGTAATTTGATTGAGGCGTCGATAGTCAACGCAAAGACGCCATGTACAATCCTTCTTTTTCACCAATAAGACTGGACTCGCAAATGGACTCGAACTGGGTCTGACAAAACCCTTCTTCAACAATTCAGCAACCTGGGATTCGATCTCATTTTTCAGATAATGAGGGTACCGATAAGGCCTCAGATTAGGTGGGTCTGCATTTGCCCGAAGAGTAATGGAATGATAATGATTTCGTGCCGGCGGAAGTGTATTGGGATCAGCAAAAGTACTCGAGAATTCGCGGTATAGGGAATCAACATTTAAAGAGTCAACCCCTACCCCTCCTGGAGTTAACAACAGACTCTGTAAATGCACATCCCTTTGGGAATTAGAAGTTACCCCTTGTAGTTTATACTTCTTCCCATTAACCCAAAAAATCATGAACATTTCCTTCCAATTTGCTTGAATAGTGTGCAGAGAAGCCAACCATTTGATTCCCAAAACTAAATCGGCACTACCCAAGGAAAAGGGAAAGAAGTCCTGCTTGATCAATAAATCTGAGATCTTCACCTCCAGATCAGCACACAATTGGTTGCACTTAATTGTGCTGCCATTACCAATTTGAACTCCAAAGGGTGAAACTGGTTGTACTGGAAGGTTGAGCTCTGCCACCAGTGACTCGGATATGAAATTGTGTGTAGAACCGCTATCCACCAGAATTAGAACATCTCGGTTTCGTAGAGAACCCACTAATCTCATGGTGGATGCCGAGGCTTTCCCCAGTATAGCATTGAATGAAATCTCGGCCTCGGTTGTTTCTGTGACAGTTTCATTTTCTTCACTCTGGGGAAGGATCACTTGTTCGTCTTCCTCACCTATTTCCATTAAAGATAGTGAGCTTGTACACCTGTGACCAGGCCTGAAGGGATCCCCACATCTGAAACAAAGCCCTTTGTCTCGACGTCTCTGGTGCTCAGAAGACAGAGATGAAGTAGCAGGTTTGTTTGTTGAAGATGGGGTGTTGGTTGGTTTGTGGTTGAATATTGGTTGAGTATTTGATAACTGAGAACTGCTGGTGTTGGCCCGATTCTGGAAAAAAGATGTATTGGACTTGGGCCGGGCAGTGTGAACTAGTTTCTTCTCGTACTCCAGTGCAAGGCTTGTGGCCCTAAAAACAGAGCGTGGGCGATGGATCCTGATGTCGGCTTTGAGCTCCTCTTTTAATACATTAATGAACACACCCAGGAGACAATGTTCTGGCCAGTTCTTCACATGTGCTGAACGGCGAATGAATTCCGTCCGATATTCTGCCACAGTACCCGATTGATGAATACTACATAAGAATTCATCTGGGTTCTGATATTCTGGAGGGCCGTAACTTTCCTGAAGTGCCTTGACCAACTCGTCCCAGTAAAGTATTGTTCTTTCCCCATTGATCCACGAAAATAGGTCGAGCGCATCACCCTCCAAGTACATCGCAGCAACCTCTACCTTCATCTCTTCTGGGGTATCATAGTATCTGAAGTATTTTTCTGCCTTTAGAATCCATCCTCTGGGGTCACCACCACTGAATTTTGGGAATTCAATCTTGGTGTGCGGTAGGCGTCGGCGGTAAGCAGTTTCAGGATCACCCTCACTGTCAGCTTCCCAGTGGGATCTGTGCTCCCCCCTCCTTCGGCTCTCATCAGACTTTGCTTCCAGGCTGGCAACTCTTTCTGTCAGGACCTCCAAACTTCGAAGACGCTCAGCTATGGTGACTAGAGGGTCACTTTCACCGGAAAAGGGGTTTTCTGGTGGAGGGGGATTGCGTGAAGACCTGGTTTCAACCATGGCTCTGATACCAAAAATGATAGATCCCACACAGTAAATAAAAAGGAAAACAGGGTATTAATTTTCTTCTATCAATAAGCAAGGCAAGTATCTCACACTTACTTGAAGATAGACCCAGGGAGTATCTCCAGAAGAATATTATGAGAACTGAATTATCGATGCCCTCTTCACAAGGCGAAGAGCCTATTTAAACTGCTTACACAATAGAGAAATAACTGAAGTAGTGGAGGGACCCACTTACTTCTCTACTGACCCACTCCTAAGGTGTAGTGGAGAGACCCACTTACTCTGCAACTGACAACTAGCCTACTAACAGATAAGAACAAGATAAATTAATTAAATAAAAATAAAACTAGTAACCACTATTCATCCAACACTGCTGCCACGTGTCTCTTTTTATTCTTCCTGGAATAAGTGAACTTGTAATTCTCAGGGAATTTATCAACCTCTTTGCCATTGTGATGCAACACTGAAAACAAACAACATTTAGTGCATGAGAATACAAATTCAACTCCTTCAACACCAAGTGCATCAGTCATAATTCTGTGGATCCCCATTCTAAGTCCAGCTTCACTTCCTTCTATCACCGTCGTTTCCTTAATTGCTCCATTTGCAACAGTAATGAAGTATAGCAGCCAATTCCCAATGTCATTAGTCACTGCAAGATATTTCTGGTGCTTCTGCATGACCATTATCAGTAATTCTTTAGGAAGCTTTAGGAAGGTATCCTTAAATTTTCCAAGTACTGGCACAGGTGCCTCAACAAGACTTACAACTTCGTTAATTAGACCAATCTGCACAATAGGAAATCTATGTACACTCTTTGCAAGATCATGGGACTGCTCCAATATAAACTTCTTGCGTTGATCAACATCATCAAATCTGAAACCATCAATCTTATTCAGCCCTACAATCACATCAGTTACAAGAAACACCTCCTTCCCTAAATCAGATATAGTTGAGGTATTGAGAGGTTTAACCATTGAGTCTCCAGTAGCAGGTGAATGAATACCCTCATCAAAGGGAATCAATTTTTCTAATTTACTGGCATCCACATGAAATCTTGGTTGAACCTCCACTGTCCACTTAATGGAAGGGTTACAAGTATCAATCCTTATCAGGTAAATACCTCGAGATATAGGGATTGACTTCCCAGTTTGGTATATCTTGACTTGAAGGTATTCATCAATTTGAGAGCCACGCTCAATCGACCACATCATCTTGGTTTCCAATTCTGAATTAACGAGTTCATACCTGGAGGGTTTGTTACGAGTGAGGAAACAAGTTATTGCTCCCACTGCAGGTCCAAGGTCAAGTGACGATTTATCCTTGTGTTCCTTGTCGCCATAGGTGTGCCTATCTGCCGTGGATGGTTGCGGCTGATTAATCAACTCCTGATGCAAATCTGTGGATTCGGATGGAGATTTCAAACTGGAGTCTTCTGCTCGTGTAGAAGCCAGAAGACCAGAAGAAATTGGTGATTGCAACGAACCTTTGCTTTTCGAATTTATGCAGCGACGTACCTTCCTCGATCTTCCTCGCCTGCGAGGTTGTGGCCGCAACTTGGTGTGCAACTTGTCCAATCTGGTCCTCCTTTCCTTCGCCCCATCACTTTCCACCTTTTCTTTGCTCTTCGTATGCTTCTCCTCCGCTATTTTTCCCCGCTCCACCTTTTCCGCGATCTTTCCAATTTTTCCGCGCAAAGCCTTTCGCGAGTGCGAAACAGAAGAAACAGTTCGCGACTCCTGCGAACTAGTGAGCGACGAACTCTGTTTGTCAGATCGCCGATGATGCCTGGTGTTCTTTGATCGGTGCAAGCGCTGATTTAGACGCTCAGTCACGCATGATACTTTCCAACATAGCGTTCGTTTCCTTCGCTTGTCGATTCAGATTGTCCAATCTCTCTTCCATTTGCGGTGTCATATGGAATTCCTCCATCGCTCCAGATTATTGATGTTCTGGCATAATCGATGATTCAGATTTTCCTCCAGGAAGTGGCGTGCTCTGATACCACTGATAGATTCCTCCAGACAACACAACAAAATCACAGAAGAAATGTAAAATAGTATCAAGAAACCAACGCAGCTTTATTAAAGATGAACAGTGACATTGGCCGAAGCCCCCAAATGGCCGAAGCCCCCAAAGAGAGAGAGTAATCTCAATCTTCCCAGTCCCAAGACAAAGTCTAAAAACAGCCTCCCACTTCGCTTTATTCTATTTATAGACCTACAGCTCAACTAACTATAGTTAATAGCTACTAACAAAAAACAACTATTAACAAAAAATTCTATTTATTTCTTCTAGTATCAATCTTTCTTACTAAAAGTAGTCATATCCCTATCAAGTGTCCCCATTCAATCTATGACAGGAAGTAATGACAATTAGGGATGTAAAAATCAATAAAATGAGTTCATCCTTTCTCCCTGTAAAAACATGAGGTCAATTCAATCATAGCAAGCCAAATAGTTTTGCTGTGTGTCAACTGTCAAGCCCGCTTAGTTGCCCAATTCAGCCATGTTCTTTAAGTATCTTAATTTGACAACTTCTCTTCCATGATTGAAGGCTCTACCGGAAGTCAGTGCTTGAAGACATCATAAGTTCATGTGTCAGTAAAGGCTATGTTTTTCAAATGGAGATGATTGTCCGTGCTTCAAGAAAGCATTATCATATTGAAGAGGTAGTTAATTACGGAGTATCTTTTCTCCTAAAAGGTTGTTGGTTCCTAACCTACTTAACTCTTGTTGCTCGATGGATCTTGGTTACATTCAATAGTCATATAATTCGAGAACTTTTGATTGATTTTTTGGGTGTTTAGACGAAGTTATTGTTCTCTTTTTCCATTTGCTGCAGGTTCCAATTACTTTTGTTGATAGAGTATTTGGGAGCTCCAAGTTGGGAGGTTCAGAAATAGTCGAGTATCTTAAGGGCCTCATATATCTGCTGTTTACAACATGAACTATAGAACAACCAACTGATCACTTTCTTTCGAGTTCCAACTACTTTCAAACAATGCATTTTTTAAAGCGATATTTGAACTAGTGCTTAGAAACTTTAGACTAGTGACTTTTCCCCCTTTATTGTCATTGTATCATAAAAACACACCTACAGCCTACAGGAGAAAACTAATTATATGGCATTATAGTGTTATGTTATACTCCCTCCGTTTCACAATCAAAATCACACTTTTCTTTTTTTGATGTTTCAAAAACAAAGCCACACTTCCCTTATTTTCTTATTTGGTAAAGAAATCTACATCAAAACAGTACGTAACAGTGTCAAAACAGTGTAAAATTTACCCCTTAGTAAATTTATTTCCTTAATAAGTGTGAAGTCAAATTGTGACTTTGATTGGGAAACGGAGGGAGTATGTTGTAATTTTCTTCATTCTTGCAGAGTTGCAGCTAATGAAGTTGTGGGGTCAGACGTTTTATATATGCATGTTGAAATATACGCATAACTTGTCAAACTCCATCTTTTTTACTTGAACTGTCAACGGTATATTGCTTTCACCACTTGTTGGTTGAAAGGGGTAGTTGTGAGGGGGAGATGTTGGGGTTTACAAATTTATATACATTTTACATTTGGTTATGGATAATTAGGTTGATTAAGTTGATTGAGGGTTGATAATATTTATAGATAATTAAGTTGATTATAATTTTATCATTTTACTTATATATTCATAAGTCATAACATTATAAAAAAACGTGCACCGTGCACCACATCTGTACTATGTCAAGTATTAAATATATGCGCAATTAGAGAAAACTCTCATATATCACTATATGAATGTGTGTATTTCCATGCAATTAAGAATGAATTGCTAAATTTGGAATTGAATAATACGAAATCATTACTCCGTAATTTCTATCTTGTACACATCGCTCTTGAATTACTACAGTCCGTAGGTTGTAAAGGCATGCTACAAATAACGGTGCGCAAATGAGGGGAGTGAGTTTTTCAAACAAATAACGGTGCGCAAATGAGGCCATGAGGGGAGTGAGTTTTTGAAAAATCGAAACCGACCGACAAACCGACCGAAACCGACTCAAACCGATTAAACATTGGTGGTTCGGTTTACGGTTTCACCTTTGGAGTTAAAAAACCGACCGAACCGAAACTGACAAAAACCGACAAAAACATGCTAAATCTAACCGAAACCGACACGAGTAATGATGTTTTTAATTGAATTGTTTGAATTTCATATCAAATCAGAGCCAAACAAATCAGGTTAGACCAAACTAGACTTAAATAGATAAAAAAAAAATCAGACCAGATCGGAATAGAAAATTTTATCAGATAGAAAACTAGATTTAAATAGAAAATTTTGGTCAAACTTACATACATGAGGCTCCTAGATGTTAACACTTATTTTGAGTTAATCATTTGGCCATCTTTTTTACCAGAAATTTTTTCACACACTGAATCATGTAATTATGTAATAATTAGAATAAGTAAGGTTGTAGTTGTTTTTCTAACTAGATCAACTAAATTTACTATATAGGACTCATGTAATTATTTCATATAATTATTTCTTTATTCTATTTATAAAACTATTTTTTAATATGATAGTATAATTTTCTTTTATTATTCATTAGACTAAGCCTTTCGATCACTTTATACAGCATTTCATCAATTTCATCTGATTTCGCCGATTCAATTTGGATGTTATCAAAGAGGGTCTAAATGCAATTCTATTAGTGAGAATAGCTTTTAAGTCTTCTTATGGAACAAAAACTACAAATCCTTTTAGCATGGTGAAAGATTTTTGTATATAGCAAAATAAAATATACGGTTGTTTTGGACTGAAATTTGATGGTCTGGTCTGATCTGGTCTGTTTAAGTCTGGTCTGAATTGGTCTGGTTTGGTCTGTTAAACGCCTGGTCTTTGCGTATTTTATAACTAAGAAATTTTGGTCTGGTCTGGTCTGGTCTGGTTTGAAACTGAAAACAGTCCAGAACTTCGTAAAATTGTAAATACTAAATATATTTCATGAAAACAAAAGTGATTTGGTTTTTTAGAACTACCAAAAATAAAAAAAAAAGGGAAAACTATCAAATAAGCCCCGTACTATACCGAAAAAGTCAATTAGACCCTCGTACTTTACAAACACTCAATTAAGTCCTCGAACTATTAAAAAACGTTCAATTAAGTCCTTTTGGTCGGTAAGTAACCGGTTTCCCGGTTAAACCGTTTAACCGGGAAACCGACCAAAAGGGTTTAATTGAATGTTTTTTTAATAGTTCGAGGACTTAATTGAGTATTTGTAAAGTACGAGAACCTAATCGACTTTTTCGATATAGTACGGGACTTATTTGATAGTTTGAGGGAGAGATATAAGAATTGTTTAATACTTCGGGGAGGGAGTCAGTATCCTATTGGGATTTGGGAGAGGTGTTTAAGTACAGGTGACATCAATAGAATTCACCGAAAGATCTGATCAGACTTGCGGCCTGGAGTTTCCCCTCCCCGACTCGATTCTTCTTCTCCACCCTTCTTCTGAAAGCAATCCCCAAAAGCCCATCATAACCGCTTCCGTTCAAACGACGATCGCCGACGCCCTTTCTCCGCTCGCATCTCCAAACTCCACGCGGAGTATCCTACACATCTCCTTCTAAGGCCCTTCACCCGATTTCATCTCAGCCTTGGCCTGCCAGTGCTTCCTCGGTAGTAAATATGGTATGCAATTTTGGGATTCCGTGTGTATTTGAAGTAATCTTTATCTGGCTTTGCTAAGTTTTTACTATTTGGATTCAAGCGCTTATGTATTTTCTGTAGAACTTTTTCTACTATTGCCATATATGAACTGAAAGCTTGCAGACCATCTTTATTGGAGTGATTTGATCTAGCTTGTGTAAAGTTGTGTTTTATAATAAAAGCTTCAGGTGAATCAATGATATTGCAGAAAGTTTTATTTTTTCCTACCCTCACTAGAATAGAATAGGTAGGGAACAATAAATTTGAGCCTTGGAGATGATCATTGCCCTGTTAAAGCATTTGTGTAACAGAGTAAGACACTTTGGTGGTTCTAATGACTACATCCTGCCTTTCCTTGCATGGATTAGAAGTATGTGTGGATAGGAAACATAGGAGTTGATCATCTATGCCTGCGTTCTCATTCTTCAAGATGCTTATTTGTCATATTGTCCAAAAATTAATTTGGTTTCAAGTATCCTCTAATGCCCCATTTGAATTGGCACGAAGCTTAATGAATCTAGATAAAATATTTGATTCACTCCGTTAGGGACTTAGTTTATATTATTAACCTGAGTGGGTGTGATTGTGTGAATTGTTAACTCCAATTCACTCCCGTTTTTATAACCCCTCAAGATTAAGCGTGGGTGTCTTAACTCTTAAGCTACATATTTATTCCACTTCACCTCAACCCAAACTCAGTTAAACAAAACCTAGGTAAGGTTATATTATCCATTCATCATCTTCAGATATTCATACAGGTGAATTTATTTTCTCAGGTGAACCACATTTAAACACAGATTAGTATTTTATCAATAAATAAAACCATTACCTAGTTGTATAACTTGTATTGTATAAATACAATAATGCGTGTTATATTGATCTTTTGCTCTCCAAGCATTTCTTTCTTTCTCATTTTGTTTTGTCATTATCTTAACTCAATCTATTTCTGAAATCAGTTTTTCGATGGATATGGTTACCACGGAACATCATTCGAGCAAACGTATCGGTGTTATCCTGCATCTTTTATTGACAAGGTTAGTTGGTTCCCATTCTATCTATCTCATTATTCTCTTCCTCTTCTTTTTTATTGGATAGTTAATGGTTTCAAAAATTAAAACCATTTGCTTGCCCATTCTTCTACTATTGTCTAAAAAACTTGGGAAATGAGGAGAAATATATTTTGCTACATTTTTTGGATTCCTTTATTGAACAGTCTCTATGTGCTTTAGCAAAGGTAAAGGGGTAAGGCTGCGCACCTCTGACCTCCTCTTACCCCGCCGTAGTTGAGAGCCTTTGTGGCATTGGGGTAATGTTGTTGTTGTTGTTGTTGTTTTGGATTCCTTTACTGAACCAGACAAGATCTCTTGGTGGCTTGGTGAAATTGAAGAACATACACGCACACACACTACAGTTATGAAACCAAGAATGAAAGCATGCATAATTGTTTTTTGTCAAGCTTCCCTAGTACTGGCCTATCTTGTATGTACTTGCTACAATACTGACTCTAAAATTTTCCCTTTGCAGCCTCATATAGAAAATGGAGACAAAAGTAAGTAAAATGTTTCTCCTCTCATTGTTGCATAGATGTTACTAAATATTATGCTTATGATATCTTCTTTGTCTCCATTTCAGTTATAATGCCTCCATCTGCCCTTGACCGCCTTGGTTAGTTTTGAAACTTCTTTTTTATTTTTTATCTTGTATTCTTATATGCAGTACTTTTTTGGCTTAGTTGACGTCTTAGCTTGAATTTTCTCATTGCAGCATCTCTACATATTGAGTACCCGATGCTGTTTGAACTTCACAATGCTGCGGCTGAGAGGGTGTCTCATTGTGGTGTTTTGGAATTTATTGCAGAAGAAGGCATGATATATATGCCATATTGGGTAAGAAATCGTTATTTGTTTTAGGGTCTTAGTGATTCAGTTATTCGGTCATAATCTCATTGGTCGAGGTCTTGTAGATGATGGAAAATTTGTTGTTGCAAGAAGGAAGCTTTGTACGAGTGAAGAATGTTTCTCTTCCTAAGGGCACATATGTGAAATTGCAACCCCACACAAAAGATTTCCTGGATATTTCCAACCCAAAAGCCATGTGAGATTGCTAAACCTTTTTTTTTTGCTTACATGCGTAATTTGAACAAATGAGGCAGTTCAATTATTTGTAATTTCCCTTTCCATTTTGTTACAGCTTGGAGACAACACTCAGGAACTTCTCATGCTTAACCACAGGAGATAGTATCATGATGGCTTATAACAATAAAAAGTACTACATAGATATAGTCGAGGCAAAGCCATCTAGCGCTATTAGTGTCATTGAAACGGACTGTGAAGTTGATTTTGCTCCTCCTCTTGATTATAAGGAACCTGAAAGACCTGTCTCTTCTCTTCCAAACAAGGCCCCTGCTGAAGGTTGTATATTCTGCACCTCCTCGAAA